TGCCACGCTGATGGGAACGACTTTCCAGGTGTTCCGTTCCTCCAGCGCTTTTAACTCTCTGTCCATGGCTTCACGCCATTTCTCCCTGTGTTCCCCCCCCAGAGCCTGCTGAACTGTCGCAGGCTCCTTAGGAAGAGCCGTGCCGTGGACTGCGGTGACGAGGCCGAGAATTTGGAGTCCACTCTGTGTGTAGCGGGGGAGTGTTGTGTCCTCGGGATAAACTGCTTCGTCTCCCGCTTCAGGTGCTGTATTGAAATTTGGTCCTACACGTTCTGCTTCGTTGGTGTTGACCCGTGCAGGTGTAACGTAACCGTTGTCGGCGAGGTCGTAGAAGACGTCGGCGTTGACGCTTTCGCGAGGATTTTCGTCATCCAGTGGGACGTCCACGGAGCAGTAAGGGACAGGTCCGGCTTCCTCCGAGGCTCCCTCCACGTTCTGCTCGTCCCAGTCAGCTTCGTCTTCTGCCGAGGCGAAGGCTCGGTTTCCATGAAATCCGCCCGAAAGGTCAGGTCTGTTTTCTTCGATGTACATGAGGTGAGTTCCGAGGGTGAGGTTCTCGTAGAAGATGACATCACGTGCTGCTACTGTTTCCTTGCTGTTGATGTCGAAGATTTTCCATGCGTTGTAATGTTTTGCGATGCCCAGGTGTAGTCCCCACTGTGCGCGTTGTGAAAATCGCCCAGCTCGTGCAGATGGAGGTCGGTACTGTACCATGCAGCCAAAAACTCGTAACATTTTTGTGCTGCCCAATTTTCCTGTCCACAGCAGATGCGGTGATGCGTTGTTCGGGAGCGATGATGACGAAAGCAAGTTGTGCAGCATCACGGCGTGGTCCATTGCTTCGGGCCACTGGTGGTTGGGCAGGTGCATGCCACGTAGCAGCTTGCGCATGGTGGCTTGGAGCGTCCTGTTCATCCGTTCTGCTACACCTTGCTGTTGGTGGGCGTAGGGTAGAGAGATGAGTCGTTTGATGCCTCTTTCTGCCAAGTACTGCTTGAACCTCTGTGAGGTGTATTCTCCTCCCCCGTCTGACTGAAAACTCTTTAGCTTGACGCCCGATTCTCTTTCTGCTACGGGAAGCCACGCGACGAAGGCTTCGAAGGCCATGTCTCTGCTCGGAAGGTTGAGATGCCACACATAACGTGTCACGGCGTCGATGAACGTGATGGTGTAGTTGTACGCGTTTTGTCCGGGTTCGCGGTTGTATAATATGTCTGTACACCTTTTCCAGAGGTGTGTACGCAGGTGCGCCTAGATTGTGATGCGAGACGAACGGCTGATGCGGTAAGTCAGCTTCAGGGCAGGTGAAGCACGTTCCACGGGCTCGTTGAAGTTCTCTGCCGTCGGTCAGTAGGAGTGAATCTTTGTCGAGCACTCCTGCTCTTATCGTGTTGTTTAACACCGTGTTGCTTGGATGTCCCATTCTTGCGTGCCAGGTTCCTTCAGTGGCGCGATGTCCGGGTGATCGTCGATACAGATCGGAGTTGGAGTAGAAGCCGGCGGTGACGTTGGTGCTTCGGTGGACTTCACGTGTTGCTGGTTTTAACTGTTGTGCGGGTGTCGGTGGCGAATCGTCGTTGTAGATTGGTGCCGTTGAGGGACCAGCGATTGGTGTCGATGTTACCGCTGCTGTTGTTGTTGTCTCTGCTGCTGCCGATGTTGCTTCTGCTGCTGCTGATGTTGTTGCTGCTGCTGCCGATGTTGCTTGAATTGTTGCTAACGCTCTTGTTCGTTCTGTCTCAGGTATCGTGTGAGAGTGCCAGAACCCACCAGGGCTGAAGTCTGGATCAAGATCTGGAGGGTGGATCCAGGAGGTGAAGGTGACGATGCCGTCGCTGTCTGCTGTGCCGAGATCTGGAACAAAATCAAGAACGAAGACGTTGTTCTTGAGGATCGCCTTTCCGATGTAGAGGCCGCCCTTCCCGTGGTACAGCTTGAACTCCTGGGTGGTGCTGTTTGCTTCAAGGTGAATACCCTTCGCCATCAACTGACTGACGCTCAGTAAGTTGTAGCCGAGGCCTTCTGCAATTAAAACCTTGGACATCTGTAGAATGACGTTTGTTTCTCGTGACTGAAGGTGTACTACGCCTTGTCGTCGTGTGCGCAGATTTTGATTGTTGGCGACGGTGATGACTACTTCTCGTTGGAGTTGATACTCTCGCTGCACGAAGCGTCCTGAAGAGCACATGTGCTGTCCGCAGCAACTGTCCAAGAACCAGGTATCTTTCCCGGATGGCTCGCTTTGGGCGATGGCTGCGTACGTTGGGTTCGGTTGAAGTGACTCGCGGCGGGGCGTGCTGTTGTCAAGCTGTTCTTCCGGTGAGTAGTGTGGTGGTGATTCAGTGACGCAGGAGTCGGTCAATCTTGCCATGCAACTGACGATGTTTCTTGCTCCTTGTGCAGGTTGTCCCGTTGGTGTTGTTGAAGCTTGAACCTGAGTTGTGGGATTTGCTTGCGTTGAGGCAACTTGGCTGCTTGAGGGTCGAAGCTGTCGCTGTGGTGGTGTTGACTGCTGTCGATTCGGGCAGTGCGTGCGCGGGTGCCCTGACGTCTTGCAGATGTGGCAGAACGGAGGTACGTGCTTCTGTTGTTGTCGGTTGTTGTTGTTGTTGTAGCGTCGCTGAGTGTGGAACGCGAATTCCGGTACTGACGTTTTTCTCTTGTGTCGTTCTTCTTGCAGGTCCATGTCTTGCTGCTCGGCGTGGATTTCGGCACAGAGTGCTGCTTCGGAGATTTTTCCGTGAGCTCGGAGGATGGCTCGGGTGGAACGCCATTGAGGACCGAGGCCACCGATGACGACTGTTACGAAGGCTTCTTCGGCTATTGATCCTCCGCATCGAAGGAGTTTGTCGCGCAGTTCGCGACATCGGCTGATATACGCCATTCCCTTTTCGCCTGGTTTCATTTCGACCGTTGTCAATTGCGCCATTAACCGACTCTGGTTGACGCTGTCTGTTGCTTGATACAGGTTCTTCAGATGATTGTAAGCGAGCTCGGCAGAGTTGCCGTATCCCCGGTAAGACCGAATGTTCTGCTGCTGGCTCGGAGTGATGTTTCTCAGCAGGATTGTATATGCCATCATTGACTGAGAGGTATACTGCCGCTTCTCGTACTGTGTGCCGTTTGTTGGGTATGGCAGGGACCCGTCGAAGAAGCCAAGTATCTGTGCGCCTTCCATCATCAACTCGAATTCGAACGACCAGGTGAAGAAGTCCTTTCCATCAAAAGGTCTCGATGTTTGCAGCTTTAAAACGTGCGCGAACTGCGACTGAACTTGCAGTGCGTCCAGTGGTCTTTCTTGTCCAGGTGGAGGCTGCGGGTGCGGCATGAAGCTGATGGAGCCGCGCTCGTACGGAGCAAAGGTAGGCTGCTGTTGATTTCCGCGCGCGTATGATGAGCCGTCGAGACTCATGGGAGTCACATCGTTGTTGTTGTTGCTGTTGTTCGATTGCGCAGGTACTGACTGCTGGTGTTGCTCGTAAAACGACATGAAGGAGAAAAACTTCTCCATCATGCTCTGGTCGAAGCTGGCAGGTTGACTTGCTGAGGGTGCTGCTGGTCTTGTTGCCGTGCCCTCCTCTGTCTGTAGGCCAGAGGCAGGAGGTGGAGTAGGAGTAGTGCCCTGGGAGCCGTTAGAGGAGCTCCTTTCCTTTTGTGTTGCCATGTCTTGTGATGACTTGGTAGTAGTTGAGTTTCCCTTGTGAGCTCTCATACCATGTTGGGCTGAGACAGCCCTTAGGATCTTTGCAAGGGTAAACTCTGGGTAGAGATGATGTAATAGCGGAAGCGTTTAATGAAGAGGTTTGAACCACCTTGCGCTGGTATGTGAGGGCAAAGTAAGTTGATTAAAGCAAACAAGTACAAAGATTTATATAAGAGTACAAGGAATACGAAGAGATACGACTGATAACTATTTTACCTTTTGCTGTTGCGGTTTGATACAGTGACGACTCGGGCAACTGCTCAATATCGAGTCAGTTGTGTGTCCTTGCTGTCGCGCTGTATTTGTCAGGTCAAAGGTCGCTGACCTTTGACTTTCGCATAACCTCCAGCAGTTACTTTCAACCTCCGAGGGTTGACTCGTGGGTGTCTCGTTATGATTTACTTCGCTTCTGGTGCGGTGTTTCGACACGACAGAGGCGCTTACGACTTGTTGTTTCCAACACCAACAATGGTACCGTCTGGCCCCGGATAGTAGCGCATATGCGCTTATAATAAAATCTCGGTTTTTTTAGGGGGCGCTTGTAATCGAGTAACGGCCATAAGCGCATGCGCTTATATGATGACAAATACAGATTCTTACAGATTTTGACATATATAATGTACATTTCATTGTTGCCATTTGAACCGAGTCGAACTAATATAGCGTCGCAAAGCAGAATCGCGCGCAAGCGATTCTGCTTCCCGCACACAGAGCCAATGTCACGTCAATCTGCATGCATGCCAGCACAACGTGACTGGACTCGCATCCAGTCAGGTCTTCGAGAGTCAAACTAAGCGAGAATGAGATAGGACTCGCTGCAAATATGAAATTCGTTACCATTTCGAACACGACTCTATAGTAAAAGTGTATGTGCGCTTATAATAAGTAAAGGTTTCACAGGGGGGGCGCTTATAATCGAGGATCGGCCATAAGCGCCATGCTCCAGATAGAAGCGCCGGCGCCTTTAATCGGACGGCGCTTATATCCGGGGCCATACGGTAGTACTGCATGTGAACTGGCCTTGTGGCCATTTGCTTGTGCTCAGAGTGTGTGGTGACTTCGTGATCCACCCTGAGCTTGCTTTGCTTTTCTGTGACTGCTTGTACTCCCCCACCTTGCCTATGGGGGTGTGTCAGAATATTGTGTTGTGTAGGCTGTAGTGGGGTAGCCAATGTGGGGTACAACCCAGCTAGGGTTAGTACTTCCAAACTGTTTCATACTTCATTCATTCCTGCTACTAGTTTCTGACAGTCTTGTCTTTCATTTATACAAATCTGAGCGGTTAACCCTGGGGGCTTTATCTCCCAATGCTTTTCTGCACAGCCCGGGCCTCTGCCTCAGCTTCGGCAGCTGCAGCCTCAAGCTGAGCCCCCATGGCCTCAAGGCCTGCCAGCATGTGGGCGCGCTCCTCCTGCTGTACCTCCTCCACCGCACTGCACCGCACTGCTGCCGGCTGGCGCCCCTCCCGGATGGCCCTTCGCCACTCCTGCACCGCCCGCTCCTCCTCCTCCTGCTCCGCCCTCGCGAACTCCGCCTGGTGGTCGTGGAGGGGAGAGGAGGAGGGGGGGCGATGGAGAGGAGGAGGGGGGGCGATGGAGAGGAGGCAGCGGTGAGCACATGGAGGGTTGCAGCGGTCGGGCGATATGCATGAGGTGATGACGTGGACCGGCAAATAGTGGAAACGGGAGACAGAGCAAACAGGGGAAAATGGAGGAATCAGGTAGGGTTAAGGCCAATTGGACAAGGGATGCAAAAGAAAGAAAGAAATGATGATGCAAGGACAGGGATGGGATAAGAAGGAGGGGGAGGCGAGGATGAGGGAGTGGAGTGGAGAAGCATCACGACCACAGTGGCCCTCGCCATCCACTGCTGCACCCATATGCTGCCACGCATAGCACATCAACACATCACCCACATGCTGCCACGCACACCACATCAACACATCACCCACATGCTGCCACGCACACCACATCAGCACATCACCTCCGCACAAGACCTCACATCACCGCACATCACTCACTAACCTCCACGGCGTCTCTCGCCTGGCGCTTGGTCAAGCCGTGCTGCATGAGCTCCAGCTGCCGCCATGCAAACCGCCGAGCCACCGGCGGGTCAAAGCCCTGCAGCCTGCCACAGGGGTGCCATGCGGTGACAAGGGGTGAGGTGGGGTGAGATGGGTTGAAATGGGGTGACATGGTGGGGGCCAGTACGAAGTGAGAGAAGCAGGTAGAAGCGGAAGCACGGGAAGCAGGGAGGCACAGCAGAGGCACAGCAGAGGCACAGCAGAGGCACAGCAGAGGCACAGCAGAGGCACAGCAGAGGCACAGCAGCGGCACAGCAGAGGCACAGCAGAGGCACAGCAGAGGCACAGCAGAGCTAAGTTGGAATACACGCGTATAGCGTATATACGCGTATCGTATATACGCTATCGTATATACGCTATCCGCTAAGGGGCTGGTTTGGACATACGCTATTTCGGGCAGGGGAAAAACTTTCCCGGGCAGGGTGAAAAAATGCCGTGCTCAACATCGAGAAGGTATTCCATATTCCCACTAAGAATTTCGTAGCATTCTCCTAAGTCTGAACTGCGATTAGGGTGGGATGCGTAGTAGACACTAATCGTAATTAGGCTGTTGGGAAGCGGGAAAGCAAACTAGTGGAAATGACGAGTGCATTTGGGCTGGCTGGGTGGGGTTTGTTGGGGGGACATTTTTGACAGGTTGGAGTTCGTAGATGGGATGGGTTTCAATGCGGTACTAATCCAAATGTAGATCTGAACTGCCAGACGCGATTGTAAGGCACATTCCCGCTTCCCTAGACCCCCGAATTGCAGCTCGACTATGGCGAAATGCTCACCAGGAGATTCCGCATCTTTCCGTATACACACAATTTTTTTTCCCGGGCAGCCCCTAAAAATTTCTGAAAGCGTATAGCGTATTAGCTAGCGTATAGCGTTTTGCGTATGAACGCAAGCGTACATACGCTAAACGCTTTAGGGTCTGAGCGTATATTCCAACTTAGCAGCAGAGGCACAGCAGAGGCACAGCAGAGGCACAGCAGAGGCTTGTTGCAGAGGCTCACCGGTACGCCTGCAGCTTGGCCTCGGGATGTCTTGCGTAATACGACTCCACTAAAGGGTCCTCTGGGAACTCTATCCTCCTCGCCTTGGGGCAGCGCCTCGCCTTGGGCTGCGGGGGCACTCTGAGGGGCGCGGGGGGAAGAGGCACAGGGGAGAAGCGAATGGGGGTGGGGGAGAGTTGAGGAGAGGGGAGAGGAGAAATGGTTCTGAGAGGAGCCACGCCACGCGGAATGATGGGGGCTGCCGCAATGCTTTGACCTGGGCAGCGGCAGTTTATGCTTGGCGCGAGTGGCGGGAGTGGTTGGGGCAAGGGAAGCTTGTGCTTCTGAGTGCGGCCCCACACCGTCCTGTTAATTGGGGCGACCTCGCGGGGAAGGCGCTCTGTTGCCGCGGGGAGGGCGCACTGCTGCCGCGCCGGCACAGATGACGGTGATGGCCGCGCCGGTGGCTGTCTGCGCGGAAGACGCCTGTTGCACCGCGCGCTCACCCACGCCTGTTGCACCGCGCGCTCACCCACGCCCTACCTCGGCGCCCCTGCGTGTCCCCAGAAGGCGGCGGATTCACAACTCCCCCCTCCCTTTCCTGGTAACCCCCGTTTCCCCCACCCCCACGTTCTCCTTCACCTCCCCCGTCCGCCCACACCTCTCCCACCCCCCCCCCCCCCTCACCCCCCGCGCGCACTTGGAGAGCGCGTCGAGCCACTTGGGCGGATCCACCACGCCGCCGCGCATCAGCAGCCGCGCCTTCTGCAGCAGATCGCCGCGCATAAACGACATCGCGCCGCGCGCGCTCCTCGCGGCTGGAGCTGCGGAAATCGGGGGATGGCGGGGGAAGGCGGGGGGAAGGCAGCAAGGGGCAGGCGCGCTATGCGGGGCGATGGGGGCGCAGATCGTGATGCTGCTGGCGGCGACGCGGAGTGGTGCGACGGCAGAGGGAGATCGCGTTCAGACGTGCAGCAGTCAGCCTTTTTGCTCGCGTTATCGCAGTGGTGTTGGTGAAGGTCGTGCTGTACGCGCTAGGAGCAGCTTAAAGGTGTCTTCTCAGATTTCCTAGCGTTTAACACTTGGTTGGGTTTGCCCGTCTGTGATTGGGTAACGTAAGACGAAATATTTGACGAGTGCGAGAAAAAAGGACAGCGAACTCCCAAACAGTCGAGGTCAAAACAAACCAGGGTGGTTTGGTTTGGCTGGGAAACGAGCCAAGGGGGCAGGTATGGTCCCGAGTTCTGTCAACGTTGAGTTGAGAGTCCCATATTTTCGAGGGGTAAGTAGCTTTCGCGGGGGTACTACTAGGGACCCCGCGCTTTCTAGGGAGCTACAGTGCCAGCAGCGGGCACTTTCCGCCCCTCCGTGCCTCAGACAGGGGAATTATAGAAACAAGGGCCATTTTCAGGTGCGATCTCTACAGTACAGGAATTGTATTCATGTGCGATCCAAATATGTTACACCACTGTACACACGTGCTGCAACAGTGCCATGTGCAGACGCCACTCACATCTTGTTCAGCTGACGGATTTTTTTTCGTCTCTGACACATTCTGACGGAAGTCAAACATACAACATGGCCAGACCAAACTACCCGAAGCTGTTAAGGCTACCCGAAAAAAAACATAATATAACCCCTAGAGAACCTGGAAGCAGTTTCGGGAGGGATCAACCCTAAACACGGGAACCCATCTGGTGTTTAGGGTTGATGCCTCCCGATTCGATTCCGTTCCGATTGGGTTTTATTTTTTTGTCACGAAAACCTTACGGAGGCATCAACCCTAAACACCAGGAGGTTCCCGTGTTTAGGGTTGATCTCCCAAAATTGGGTCCAGGGTCACTAAAGCTTTTAGTTTTGTTTTTCGGGGCATGTCTTAGCACTTCCTGGTAGCGTCGGTAAACGAAGAGTGTGTGAGCGCATTTATTTCGCATTAGTTTCCCTCAGCGAGTACAGATTTGAGTGGCGTATCTCTCCAAGGCAGATTCTGGCACTTGTCTACAGTCCGCAACAGAGACTTGGAAATATGCGCCGGGATCACACCTGAATACATTTCCTGTACTGTAGAGATCGCACCTGAAAATGGCCCTAGAAACAACACAGAACTCTTCCCCACATTCACCCACGTGTCACAATTTTCCATGCCAACTACTGTACTGGCAACTGACAAAATCCCCACTCCGGGTGGCTCGGCTGCCACACTGTTCCGAAATCTGCTAGGCTAGTTTGTCGCGCCCTAGATTTCGGAACACAGGCCAGCTCGCCAGACGGAAACGGAGTACAGTAGCACTCCGTCAATTGGTTTGAATCCCTTCATCTCACGTTACATTACCTCCGTCTGTTGGACTTGTCTAATGCTGCTTCACAGATTAGGGTTTGCGACAAGTCACAGACGATCAAAAACTTCGTTCTAAGTTATTGCGTACGTTCCCTCAAGCAATCCTCAAATCAGCATAGGCGCCATGTGTTTTTTCGAATCTGTGGCCACACCATATCCAAAAGTAGGAGCATCACCTTCTCTCGGATAATGTTTAATTGGCTAGCAATCCAGGATATGAGTTTAGGGTTCGTTTGATATGTGCACCCTTTATTTCTCTTCTCCGATCCTTGCGGTCGATGGTAAGTTTGCTTGATTTCGACCCACCTATCAGAACATCGTAGGCGACTTACATAATCTGACTGTGCCCTACGACTTACCTTCCGCGTGATTGATCACGCATTTTCTATGTTGCCGTTTATCACCTTACAGAATGCTAAGCTTCAGTCACCCCTCACATGTGTTTCATCCACATTTTTTAGTACAATCCACCCTTTTCTTGTTTATCCTTTATTCTCCTGCCTTACATGTGTCTCTTATCCTCTGTTTCCAGACTTCCACCACTCACAAACTATCGTGTAGACAGAAACCATGTGTGCACAATGTTCAGAAGTTCTCTTTCAAGGTGATCTCACTGATTTACAAATGCAATGTATGGAGTATGCTTTGTATTGCTGCCTTGTTTGGGTTGCATCAAACTACTTACCTTTGATTCCTTTACCTCTGCAATTATGTGTTCTTTAAACAAGGCATTTCTTGGGCAACAGATGGAGGAGATCCACATGGGTTCTTAGGGCCCACCACTGACTACCTACCTACCTATCTACTGTCGGAGCGTCGCGTTAGCGCCTCCCCCTCAGCGCCCTCGTGCGCCCTCGTGTACGGCCCCTTAAGGCTTTGTCGACCCCGCGCGCCGCCCCTTAGTGACTCGCGCGTCGCGCCTTAGAGGCCCCGTCGACCCGTGCGCGCCCCGCTTAAGGCCCCGTTTGGCCCCGTCGACCCGCCCGCGGCCCGCTTAGTGGCCCCGCTTAGCCCCGTCGACCCGCGCGCGCCCCGCTTACGGCCCCGTTTGGCCCCGTCGACCCGCCCGCACCCCGCTTAGAGGCCCCGTTTGGCCCCGTCGACCTACGCGCGCCCCGCTTACGGCCCCGTTTGGCCCCGTCGACCCGCGCGCGCCCCGCTTACGGCCCCGTTTGGCCCCGTCGACCCCTTCGCGCCCCGCTTAGTGGCCCCGTTTGGCCCCGTCGACCCGCGCGCGCCCCGCTTACGGCCCCGTTTGGCCCCGTCGACCCCACGCATGCCCTGCTTAGAGGCCCCCCTGGCCCAGTCGACCCCGTGCGCGCCCCGCTTAGAGGTCCCGCGGCCCCGTCGTCCGCCACCACACGGTCCCTCGACCCCGCGCGCGCCCCGCTTAGCGGCCCCACGGCCCCGTCGAGCCCCGCTTAGAGGCCCCCGCGACCCAGTCCCGCCCCTCTTAGCGGCTTCGCGCAGCCGCGCAGCCCGAACTGAGCCGCGCCGCCCTACCTGAACTGAGCCGCGCCGCCCTACCGAGCCGCGTCGACCGTTCTAGCAGCCCTGTTGATCCTACTGCTACTGCTACTGCTACTACTGCTACTACGGCTACCACTATGGCCAGTCCTCCCGTACTTGCTTTCGATGCTGAGGGCCGCCCAGTGAAGTTTGACACCTGGCTCGATGACCTGCACCTTTTCCTACAGCTCACTGCCAAGGAGGACATCTCACTGTATGACCACGCCCTCGGCCATGCTCCTGCCCCTGCTACTGATGCTGACAGCACTACCCGCTCCCAGTGGCAGACTCGTGACGCCCACGCTCGCTTTGCCATCCGCAACTCCCTGCCGTTAGATGAGCGCGAGCACTTTGGCCAGTGCAAGACTGCTAGGGACCTCTACACCGCTGTAGTTGCCCGTTACTCCTCACCCGCTTCTGCTACGCTAGGCCGCCTCACTCTTCCCTACCTGTTCCCCGACCTAGCCTCCTTTCACACTGTCGCAGACCTCATCACCCACCTTAAGACTAGTGAGGCCCGCTTTCGCGCTGCTATGCCTGCCGAGTTTCTCACTAGCAACCCCCCCCCGCTCTGGATCACTCTCTACCACATCGTCACCCGCCTTCCTGACTCTCTGCGCGCAGTCAGGGACCACTTCCTCTCTCGCTCCCCCACTGAGCTCACTGTTGCCCTCCTCGAGAAGGAACTGCTTGCAGCTGAGGCGAGCATCGTCGCTGTAGGCACCTCTCGTGGCGACCCCCGCACCCCGTTCTTCGAGGGGTGTTCCCCTTCCCCCCTCCTCCCCTCTGTCGCCTCTGCTGCTGCTGTCGACCTCCTTGGTGCTGAGAAGGTCGGGACCGCGTCTGCTTCGAGCGGGCGCCGCAGGGGCAAAGGGAACAGGGGCGGGGGTGGCGGCGGAGGAGGTGGGGGTGGAGGCGGTGGGAGTGGAGGCGCGGCTGAGGAGGCTAGTGGCGGTAGTGGGGGAGGCGACAGCAGCGGCGGGAGTGGTGGCAGGGGCGGAGGCGGCAGCGGAGGCGGAGGTGGTCGTGGTGGCGGCAGGGGTGGAGGTGGCCGGGGCGGAGGCGGAGGGGGTGGTGGTCGTGGGGGCACTGGCGGAGGGCAGAGTCAGCAGCCCGCCCCGACGCTTCAGGCCGCCCGTGAGTGGTATGCGCAGCGTGGCTTTACCTGCACGTACGTCATTCGCACAGGTGACCGCACCGGCCAGCAGTGTGGGAGGCTGCACCCCACGCAGCGCTGCTTCGCCCGCCTTACCGACGCGTGGCGCACCCAGTTTCCTACTGCCACTGAGCTGCCGCGCTGGGCTGAGCTGGAAAAGAGGGGTGTTGATATTTGGGCTTTAGACTTTGATGCTATTCTCACTGCCATGTATGCGATGTCTATTAGTGGAGAGGGTGCTCAGTACTTGCGTGTTCCGCCCGACCCGGGCATTCAGGCCAGTCCGGCTGCCGCCCTAGGTGCTAGTGCGTCCGCTCCCGCAGGTCCTGGTGAGGCTGCTGCCCTAGGTGCTAGTGCGTCTGTGCCCCCTGGTACTGAGTCGACTGCAGCACTGCACACCTTCACACTGGACTCAGGTGCTTCTCGCTCTTTCTTTCGTGACCGCACTGTCCTTGAGCCCCTCGCTCGGCCAGTTGCTGTCTCCCTTGCTGACCCCTCTGGGGGTCCGGTCATTGCGACCTCCTCCACTGTCCTTCCTTGTCCGGCGGTCCCGTCCGGCACACTGTCCAGTCTCTACCTCCCCTCGTTCTCGACGAACTTGGTGGCAGGTAGTGCGCTCCAGGACGGGGGTGTTCACCAGTTCACCCCTGCCTACGAGCGCGTGACACACTGCACGTGTGCTCGGACGGGTCGCCACCTGGCTACCTTCACTCGGGAGCCGGGGTCGGACCTTTACACACTGACCACTGTGTCCCCTCAGGTAGCTGCGTCTGCGTCTGCGTCTGCGTCTGC